TGTTCTGTTGCTGAAAGAGAGATGGAGAATGGATCTGAGTGGGAACTAGCAGTCTCACTGAGAAGCCAAACCCAAACATTTACTGATACTTTCATGGGGAAGGAAAGAGTAATGAGAAAAAATACAGGGGAGAGGAAAGAAGAGAAGGAACATAAAACAATCCAGGGAGAACTTCAATGTGAAATTTGGCTAAAACTTCCCCTGGAAAGGCACTCTACCAGCAAATAATACTATCTCTACATATGAAAATAATGTAAGATCCATGATCAAGACTCAATCCCAGGTACCTGGAGCTGTTCTCAGCACATAGTATGTGCTCGACAAATATGTTTTAATTGAGGTATTTTTGAACAACCTATAATATTAAATAAAAAAGTAAGCCAAAAGCATGCTGGGTATCACATGGTTGCATGCACTGAAGTCATATTGAGAGACTCAGAAGCCAGCCCGTGAGGTCATGGGTCACAAAGCCAGAGATTCTTCCCTCTCCTCTCACCCACATCCACTCACTGCTGCCACAGTCACTCGAACACAACATGCTTCTACATTTGCACCCACATCAGTTCTCCTGGCTGGGATATCCCTTCTCTCTTCCAGTCCACTTGAACTTTGTCATGCCTTCAGGACCAGCTGACACCTGCCTTCTGCCTGAAGCTGCTTCTGACTCCCACAGCCCTCACCATAGATGCCGTTCTCTGACCTCTCACGATCAGCTCCACACAGTCAGCTCCTGAGTGTTTTTGTTATGTCATAGTTCATGCTGCTTCATATATGTGTGTCTGGTCTCCTCAGCCAGACTTTAAGCTCTTGCAGGAAGAGCAGAGCTACACACACACACACACACACACACACACACATACAGTTTATAACACACTTTTTTGTACCTGATAAGTTCTCGATAAATATCTATTCTTTAATTATTTGGAAATATACCAAGAGGTGATTGCATCTGACTTTACATTTTTCCTGGTTAAGACTCCGACTATATTTGGAAATATACCAAGAATAGTATACTTATGAATAACATTGCAATGAACATCCATATCCATGTATAAGTTTTTGTGTGATGTGTATTTTGACTTATTTGGGGTATATATCTAGGATAGAATTGCCAGTTGATTGCATCTGACTTTACTTTTTTCCTGGTTAAGACTCCTGCCATTGTGTTTTCTTTTATAGGATAGAGAGAGAGAGAGAGAGAGAAAGGCTGTAACTACTTACGTGTCATGTCTGAAGTGCTTGAGTATTTGAGGGCATGGCAGAATCAAATGAAATGATCTTAGGGTGGCAATGATTGCATCAAAGTGATTGGGTCAAAATATCCTACAAAGAAAAAGTTTAGCCCTGGCCAGTGTGGCTCAGCTGGTTGGAACATCGTCCCATAAACTGAAAGGCTGAGGGTTTGATGCCCAGTGAGGGCACATGCCTTGACTGTGGGTTTGGCCCCCAGTTGGGGAGCATAGGAGAGGCAACCAGTTGATGTTTCTCGCATCAATGTTTCTCTCCTTCTCTCTCCCTCCCTTCCTCTCTCTCTAAAATCAATAAACATATCCCCGAGTGAGGATTTAAAAAAGAAAGAAAGAAAAGGTGTACTGGCAAAAAGCTCTAACCTAAGCCGAGCCGTGTGCTTGAAGAGCTAGAGAGAAGAAAGAAGATGGCACTCCAGCAGGGGCCATGACAGAAGCAAAGGGCTGCTGATTGGGCTGAGTGTGGAGTATGTGGGGATGATAGGAGGCAGTGATTTGTTGGGAATCACCGCCTCAAGGGTTTAAAGACTGAATTTTGTATCGCTTTGGAAGAGCCATTGGAGACCGTGGCCCAGGGACATCCGTCATATGATCAGATCAAACAGGCATGGTCACAGCAGTGACAGGCAGGTGCCGGCAGGACGGACCTACGAGCGGAGAGAACTGAGAGAGTAAGCCCCTGTCCTCAGGAAGCTATACTAGCGATTCAGGGCTGAAGCAAAGACATTAAGGATAGCCAGCTGGAATTTGGTGACTTAAATATTGATTCAGTGGACAAAAGTGTCATTCATCATGGGGCTGATTCCCCAAAGGACCTATGCCTATGTGCAGGGAACTCATCATTTTGCTATTATAAAAATTCATTCAGTCATTCAGAGTGGAGATTGATGCCAGGGGTTTGCTGCTAATCAGCCTAGAATAACAAGCTGGGGGAGAAGACAGGCAGGCCCTCTGCCAACTGGGCAAGGAGATGGCCCAGAGGCACAGAACACTGCAGTGGAGCACCCTGTCCCTGCCCTGGGAGTCTGGGCAAAGAAAGCCACTGAAAGGTCTGGCAGTGCCCTTCTGGAGATTCCACAGCAAACTCCTGGAATGACACTTCTCAGGGCTTCTGTCAGAGCTTGACTAGTCAGGTGGAATCCGGCCTCGGAGGTCCATGGCTGGGCTACCCTCCCTGCTGCTGGAGCTTGAAGAGATGAGGGTACGTATGGACGGGGGAGCAGGGGCATGACACCAGTGGAGAGCCTAGGGGAGGCAAAGTCTTGGAGAGGAGGACGCAGGGAGAGAGAGAGAGAGAGAAGTACATTTGACAATAACAACAATAGTCTGCAATGGCAAGAATTCATGCTTGTATAAGATTCCCACCATGGATGAGATGTTCTCTCCCTCACACAAATGTTCCCCTGCCCCTTCCTAAGAAGATCGTTGCAAAACTTGCCACATGCCACCCAGTGCCCAGAAGGCTAGTTCCGAGTATGGTGGTGCTGGAATCTCTCCCCATCTGTCCCCTCCCTAACACAGAGAGACTGCAGCTGGCTCCATCTACAAATTGGAAAAGCATTTCTAAGATGACCCAAGACTCCAATGTGTCCTGGTTTGGGAAAATCAACATCCCAAGTCAGATGCCTTTCAACTCTGAGACCTCTCCTGTCTCAGCCCCGCTGTCTGCACTCGGGGCATGGGGTCAGAGGGCCCAGTGAGTGGTAGGCGCTTGTTCAGGGGCCACTTCGAGCACCCTGAGCCTTAGGGGACTGTCGCTGTGTGGCCACTTTGGGTGGATCTTAGCTTGAGTGCTCTAAGGTGGAGGCCAGACAACCAGGTATTTGGCGTGGGAGGCCAGGACTGCAATTTGCCGCGCTTCACCCACCCAGGATATCTAAGCAGTCACCATTTATTCTGTCATCTGTGTCGTCTCAGCATCACCAGGGTCCCCCTGTCCTGTGGAAGGGGAACAGACGGAGAAGGGGGCTGGCTTCCGGAAGAGGACGGCGTTCCGTCTGTACCAAGGGCATTCCTCTCCGTAGAACTTGGTGGCCCAGCCTGCGATCCACCAGCAGAGAAGGTCTTGAAAGAGCGCGGAGTACCCGCATGTTTCCCGGTGGCAGCAGGGTGTAGGGGGGCGACGGTCACTCCCCCCGCCCCGCCCCCGCTCAAGAGCATACCCACCCACACACCTGCACGCGCGCGCTGGGGGTGGGGGGTGGGCGGGAGCCAGTGAATGAGTTCCCCCTACACCTCCTCTACCAAACCTGCCGCGTCCACGTTCCTATCCAGACTCCCTGACCCTGAGCTGCTGGGTTGGGGAGCTGGGGTGGCGAGAGGAGATCCAAACAGCAGGGCGGGCCTGGACGCTTCCTCCTCCCGTGGCACCTCAGTCCCCACCGGCTCTTGACTCCTCCCCTGTCGCTGTACCGCAGCATCCCCGCCCTGTCAGCGCGCGGCTTCAGTGACCGCACCTGCTCCCGATTGGAGGGAGACGCAGGAGGTGGAAAGGGAAAGAGAGCGTTTGGGGAGCTCAGCGCAGCCGGCTGACTGGCCTCGCCCTGCGCCGCGGCCCCCGCAGCCCTGGAGTCGCCCGCCCCGCGGCTGCTGCCGCACCGATGCGCTGTCCGCGGTGCTGACGCCGGCGTCCCGTTCAGTGGAGGGGGTGGAGACGCCCTCGTTCCTGTCGCCCCGACGCCTTCCCAAGCTGGATCACCCCCACTCCTTCCAAAGCAGGATAATTTCCTCAAAGGAACTCTCCGAGACCTAGCACTGCGGATGGATCCAGGAAGAGGCGAGCGAGTGGGAAGTTAAACTTCGGATCGGAGCCCGAGAACCCGGTGCCAGGAGACGCGTGTCTGGCGGCCCCCAGCCCCTGAGACCCGAGGGCGCCATCAAATTGAGCAAAGTTTGGCGGCAGCTTGGAGATAAGGGAAGGATTCTGGAGCAGAGGCGCAGTGAGGGGCCGGACCGGGTTCCCTGGCGGGGTGGTAGCAAGCCCCACATCCCGACGCCTGCTTCGATGCCCGCATTAGTGGATCCGGGACAACCGGGAGGCGGGAGGCGTAGCGGCAGCCCAGCTCCCCACTCCTTTCCTCCCTTCCCGACTCCCCCCACCCCCACTCCAACACCCCGCCCCGGGCGCTGGTGACTCCGCCTCTCCGTGCCCGGCGGCTCTCCCGCTGGAGCTGGAACGGGTGCGCTTCCCCGGACTCAGCTCGCTTCTGAGGCTCCGAAGCCGACGCCGCTAGCTCAGGCCCGGGGGCGGGAGCTGGACTGCCCGCGCAGCCTGCGCCTGCGAGCTGCCAACTCTGGACCCCCTCATGGGACGCCCCCAGGGGCTCTGTTCGTGCCCTGCTGCCCAGTCCCAGTCCTAGGCGCCCGGGCTCACAGCCCGCCCGCCCGCAGCCCGCGGCCTGACTGGACAGGAGTATGAGGCCCGGGGCCCCGCGGACGCGGGCCACTGGGCGGCAGGGGCCTAGCTGCAGACCCCCGCGCCCGAGGGCGGCGAGTGGAGAGCCGCGGGAGCCGGCGAGGCGTCGGGGCGCGGAGAGAAGCGCCCCAGCCCGGGCGCCGGAAGGGCCGCGGGAGCCGTGTGCGGCCTGAGCGCCGAGTAGGAGGTGGAGGCGCCCCGCTGTTCCGGGGAGGCGGTGCGGGGCTCCGCGGCGCCCCCGACCACTGGCCACCATCCTCACGTTTCTGCTCCCGCGGGGGGGATGTCGCGGCCCGGGCCACGAGCGCCGCCCCGGCCCCGGGGCTGAGCTCCGGACCATGTCCTCCCGCAGCCCCCGGCCCCCGCCCCGCCGCTGCCGCCGCCGCCTGCCGCGCCCCTCCTGCTGTTGCTGCTGCTGCCGCCGCTCGCACCTCAACGAGGACACGGGGCGCTTCGTGCTACTGGCGGCGCTCATCGGCCTCTACCTGGTGGCGGGCGCCACAGTCTTCTCAGCGCTGGAGAGCCCAGGCGAGGCGGAGGCGCGGGCGCGCTGGGGCGCCACGCTGCGCAACTTCAGCGCGGCGCACGGGGTGGCGGAGCCGGAGCTGCGCGCCTTCCTCCGGCACTACGAGGCCGCGCTGGCCGCCGGCGTCCGAGCCGACGCGCTGCGCCCGCGCTGGGACTTCCCTGGCGCCTTCTACTTCGTGGGCACCGTGGTATCCACCATAGGTGAGCGGCACGCCCCGCGCGCGCGCTTCCTCTCCGAGCCTTTCACCTGGCGCCCTTTTCGTTGTTGGGTAGCTGGGTCCGCGTCCATCAGCTACCTTCTCTTTTAATACCCCATTGCCCACTTTCGTCCTTCCCTGTCCTCTTCGCGGTCTCCCTCCTTCGGCCCCTTCTCTTTCTTAACTGGCATTCAGCGCGAGAAGTGATCAGAGAGGCCCATTCCTGGTGCTTGCCCCGCGGTGACTCACCTGGCGGTGTCGCCAAATGGGGAGAACCCTCACCCGGGCGCTGGGCAGACCTGGGGGCCGCCTGCGCCCCCGCACTTGCCAGCTCCAGGACTGAACCTCTGGGCGACTCGGCTTTTTCCTCTGTGAAAGGACTTGTGAGCAGAAGTGTCAAGGGCCTTCTGCTTCCCTCCTATTTCTCACGCCCCCTGGGCCTCAGTTTCCTCACACAATCGATTCAGAAAGCCTCTTCTCTCCACTCAGGGCGTTTTGGTTTTTTTTTTTATCTCCTCTTACGGCTCCTTTTAAAATTGTTTGCATGCATTCTCCCCTCAGCATCCTCTACCTGGGGTGTCTAACCTTTTGGTGCCTCTGGGCCACACTAGAAGAGTTGTTGTCTTGGGCCACACATTAAATACATTGCGACATTTAATCACAAAAAAAAACCCCTCATAATGTTTTAAGTAAATTAACAATTTTGTGTTGGGCCGAATTCATAGCCATCTTGGGATGCATGCGACCCTCAGGCTGCAGGTCGGAAGCCCCTCGTAGCCCTTTTACCTGAGGGGGTGCGACCATTTTCCCCAGATTCTCTTTCCTAGATTCCCTTCCCACCTGCTTCTCCTAGAGTCTACATCGGCCCCTCTTCAAAGAAAAGCCGGTAAGACTTGGAGGCCTGGACTGCAGCTGCTCCTGTCCTGGTCGCCCCTTGGTTTTCTCCCCCCTCCTCCACATCGCCTTCCCCTCCAATTTCCTGACCTCTCTTCCTTGTTACCTTGCCATTTTTCCCAACCTATAGTGGCACCAAGGGGTAACTTGGGCCGGGTGGGGGTATTTCTATACTTTCCATCACCCCTTCTGTTTTTGGTGTAAACAGTTCATGGTTTCACAACCTTACAAAAAAAATGCTTTGTAAATACTCCTTGAAGCTCCTCCCCCCACTACTCCCCTCCCCCCTCCTCTGAGCCTCTTCCCTAGAGACCCTAGAATCACCACCGTTCCTCATTTCACCCCTACCCTCCCTTCTCTGCTCACCCACTTTCCCCATCCCCATTTCTCCCTGGGCCCTGGGTGTCACAGGAAACAGGCCCCCTCCCCACTTACTGTACAGCCTGCAGAATAAACACAAGATTCTTTCACTTTGGCAACATTTTGTGAGTGTCCCATCCACTCCTGTTTGGAGTCCCAGGGTGAGAGAAGGCACTAGGCCGTTCCGACTTCTAGCCACCCCAAGGCTGGTGGCAGTTTTGGAGAAGGGGGCTGGACTCACTGGGCTGAGGAGTGAGGGATTTCATAGACACACCTTCCATGGGTGGGTTCTGCTCTGGCTTGGGTTCTGCTCCAGCTTAGAGACAGGGGCATGGACTAACTGACCCGCGTGAGCCGTCACAGATGGCTGCTGGGAGGCCGAGAGCAAGACCATGTCCATGTGCCGGGTATGGGCAGCTAGAGATGTCTCTCTGAGTGTGTGTGTACAGTTTACTAAGGGGCTTCCTTTGCTTCAATGATTTTTAATGTGTCATGCTTGATCTGATTGCCTTAAATTTAAAAAAGGCAAATGTGGCCCAATTCCAAAGCACAAATTGGATTAAAATACCCTTTAAAAGCTATATCATGTTGTTATGGTGATTGAAGATATAAAATGACCCCTCAAAAAATCCCCTTTGAAGAGCTGCATCAAGTTGCCATAGCAACTAGAGGGTTTTTTTTTTTTAAGTGCTTTAAAAGTACTAAGGATGTTTAGTCCTGAAGGATGACATCATGTGTTCATAGCTCATTATTGACTTGGGCTCTTCCTTTTGTAAACACACCTTTTTGCTCTCTTCCACCTAGATGCACACCTGTGCACATATTGGAAGGACACAGCTTCTCTCTCCCAGTGACAAAGGAAAGGCGTTAGCAGTGTCCTCTTCCCCTGTGGGCTGTGAGTTCATGCAGACGGGGCCCCATTCCAGTGACCTGTCGTCTCTGTGCCTCTTTGATGAGCTCCTATCGTTTTGTTCATTCATTGCCCAGCCATAGCTTCTAAAGCTCCTCTCAGCTCTTTGCACAAAAATCAAGTCAGTGCGTTGGCAAATTGTTCCAAGCCCCAGCCTTTAATCTACTGGCAGGAATGGCTGTTCCTCAGTCAAGTGGAAAAGAACTATGTTCTCTTGCTTGATTTGTGTTTTTTGGATGTCTGCAAGCAGTGTAGGAGGGCTACACTGAAGCATGTGGCTGTGTTACGAATGACCCAACACATTGTTTTCCAAAATCAGCTACCGAAAACATTAATCTCTGAGAGGAGCTGCACTCGGGGAACAGAGCCAGCCTGTGGACAGCTCTGCATGGAGCTAGTCCCTTGCAGGGTGCCAAGGTGGCAGCTGGAGCAGCAGGGTCTCTGCTGTCCACCTCCTGTCATGGTCTGGGGCAGTGGTTCCAACTGGTCAGATGAGTTCTGCTGAATCCCAGATAGCATGATTGTCATTTCAGCCTTCTTTTACAAAGTGTACTTGGATGAGATTTAAGTAAAGACCTACTTATGTTAGCTTCTCTTCTGCTTACATAGTTCCTTCCCCTTAAATGCCCTGCATCTTCAAAGACAATAATTACTATTCTGGTGCTTTTATGGATTCAGCAGCTCAGGGAGCCAAAACTAAGTCCAAAATGGGCATCAGGAGTCTCTATCTGCTACCTCACCCGGTGAAGAGGAAAATTAGCACGCACTCAGTTATATCTGATCAGTGAATATCACAGTGCGAATGGTCCATGCAGCAGTGTGAACTTTGTGTGTGTGTGTGTATTGTGTAGGGCCCACTAAGTGATTCATCTGGACTTTAGTATAAAAACCTGTCCTTTATTCATGGCATAAAAATGAATTGTGCATGTCAGGTCCGGCGCTAGGTTTTGAATAGAGAAAGCTTATTCTATAAGGCAGAAGTGAAAGCACATGCCGTGTGGGCCATCGGAGTGCAGCATATCTGGGCAGCATATCTCGGCTTCCCTTACTAAAGATGATTAGAATAGGGAAAGGGGGACCTTTTGTCCAATTCCACGTGGCTCAGAATCTTAAGGGACCTGTCTTCGGTCACAGTTCATTATATGTTTAGCTGGATCCAGAATCCAAGTTATGCAGTGTTTGTTCTACCATCTTCATGCATATAATTGGTGGGTACATTCTTTTTTGAGATGAAGTATTTAATAATAGATGTGTGTGTGTGTGTGTGTGTGTGTGTGTGTGTGTGTGTGTTTAGGGGAGGGAAAGAAGGGGCAGAAACGGGCCTTTGTCTAGAGGGAGACCCAGAAGAAAAGTTCAGGAATGGCTGTGTGTACCAAGGGTTAGAGGGAACATCGTGGTGAGATGGAGTGTTTGTCCTGGCATTTGGCGTGAACGGGGTTCTGTGTCCAGAACTAGGCCGTTTGCAGTTGAGGAGACAATGTGTGTGTCCACATGGCACAGACCCAGTACAAACATTTGCCAGTGATTGTTCACCAGTAGCTAAGACTATATAGAAAGTTAATCTGAATAGCTCAAGCAGAATAAAAATCCACTTTGTGGTCTAATCATTCATATTGATTACTTACACAGACCCGGAATCCTGGGTAATATTATTTATCCCATTTACGCCAGGTCACGTATTCCCAAGGGGTCAAAATCAAGTTTACTTTAATAGGAAGGTATCCATTTGTTCATCCCCCCATTTAACAAAATCCAAAGAAAGTGTAAGTGATCATAGATGCACATGTGGCCCTTGGCATGTCCTTGACTGTGTGCCTGTGACCATATGAACTCCTGAGGATAAAGATGGCGGCTTGTGTCCTTTTAGTACTAAGCAATATTCTTGGAGGCAGTGCTCTTGCTCAAAGATAGTTAAACAACCTGAAGAGTATTAATCCATCACTTGACATCCTAAAGGATGTTATATTGGCTTACTTTGAAAAGATTAAAAGGAAACTCTCCAGTGGGGTTTTAATTATGCAACTGCTGTCAGATTTACACATAGGGAAGAACATATTTAAGTCCTTTTCAAATGGCAGCTCGATATAAACAGAAATCTTTTTGCTTCCTTTTATTAGGTTTTCTGGCAACATATTTCAGCTATAAAGCTAAAACTATGGCTCTATAGACGGGATGGTGTAGGTATGAGACTTGTCACTTTCGGCACTGAATAATTTAGCTTGCTACTTTCAGAATTAGGCACACTTAATTATTCAACTGTGAGATTAGTAACAAGTCCTAACTTTTTTCCCTTTTTTTAAAAAAAGATTTTATTTATTTAATTTTAGGGAGAGGGGTAGGGAGGGAGAAAAAGAGGGAGAGAAACATCGATGTGCAAGAGATACATTGATCAATTGCCTCTCACATACCCCCAACTGGGGACCTGGCCTGCAGCCCAGGCATGTGCCCTGACTGGGAATTGAACCAGCGAACCTCTGGTTTGCAGGCCAGCACTCAATCCACTGAGCCACACCACCAAGGCCTCCTTTTTAAAAAACAAAAACAAAAAACATGGATTTTTAAATATATTTTTGCTTCAAAAGAAACATTATAAGACCAAAATGTCACTACCACATTTACAATGGACTTCATTCTAACATGTATGTAATCCAGCTGGAAGTGGTTCAGGATGGAAATACATTGCCCAGAAGGAGAGGTGCACCTTCCCTGGCTTATTTCCCTCATCAACTATTTTTTTATTGAAAGGTGATGCTATGACAACTTAGAAGGACATTTAGGGAAAAAAAAAACTGTAGTGTTTGATTTGAAGCTGTAGATAGAGCAGGAAATGCATTCTCATT